GGGGGGGGGGGGGGGGTACTCTTTAGGGGCTGGTTGAACCAAGTCCACGGGCCCCACAGCCAGAAAAATATGCAAAAGATCACATGTTTAAGAATTATTTCCAGGGGAAGGGTCCCAAATCCACCAAGTCCAAGGACCCCACCAATCTGGGAAAGGGGGAGAGGGGGGTCCAGTAAAGGATGCCTCATAGTCAATTCTTTCCCTATGTAAAAATGGTAAGAAATCGAAAGAGAGCTGGGTCAGTCTCAGACACTCAGTTCTTAGAGTTCTGTTTAGGAATCGATAAATCAGTACTGTACAAAAGCGTATAAAATTGCTCATGTGTGTCAAAAGTAAACAAACATAACATTAATGTAAACAAGATTATGTTGACAATATGACGTCATGAAGAGAGCTGATCTATAGATGGTTATCTATGTTTACATTGATTCTCGATCATAATGGCTTTAATCTCGACTCTAAATGGCTGCACGAATCCTTCGATTAACATTATAGAATTGACAGAAATCCTGCAAATCTGAAAGTATACGCGTGTCTTTTGGTGTCGTTGGGCGAATAGCGTTTGTGTAACTTATTTGGTATATCACTTATGATTGATATACTTACATGTAAAAAGTTCATTAGCTGCTACCAAAGTTTCGCCAATATGTTGTTTTGGATTTCGGATTTCGTTTTACGGTTCGGATCGTTAGTACTTGGTTTATTTATTGACTTAAATGAATGGAGTTTTACATCATGAATACGAGAAAACTGGTATATTACCCCCGCACCAAATTTGTGCTCAACAAAACATTCTTAAAATCTTAAAATTAACAAAATCTCATTATCTACAATTCAGAACGTTTTTGGGCTGGACAAACAAAACGGACTTCTGAAGACTATTTACATATATTCAAGATCAAACCCAACTACCGAAAATGGTGCACTTGTTCCTTTAAACTCCAGGATCAGAAATAGGAAACGTAACATCTCAATAGAATCCGTAAAAAATAACATTTGATATTTTCCCGATCTGCTTACTAATTGATTTCTGCTTAATGAAAATAAATATGGCGCCAAAATAATATGACGTCTGGCAAGTCATAAGAAAAACACTGCGGTTGGTCCAGGATCTGGTTTTTATAAATTGTCTTCTGGTACACTGGAAATTGACGTCTGTTGCATTCAGTCATGGGAAATTGTGGATTTCTGTTTGCAATTGAATTCAGACATTCAGATAGGAAACTTTCACAAAGTGTTAAGCTAGGGAGGGGAAGGACTTAGTCTCTGACACCCAGACCTCTCTGTCTACGGTACTATATGGTACTCCTTGGTAGTCCGAAAATCCGATTTTGTGGACTTCACCAAAATAGTACAGGAGGGTCAAAAAGTCCCAAGCATCCTAGCCAAATAGTCAATATTTTACGTAATGGAATCAGTGAAATGCTAAATCACTTGCGTT